CAGCCCCAATAGCAAAAACCTCTCAAAAAAAAAAAAAAAATAGGACCAGCAGATGGCATAGTGGTTATGTCGCTGGATTTTCTCGTGGCTGACCACAATTTGAGTCTCAGACCAAGTAACTTGAAGCTCACACTGGGCACGTGTGTGTGCATGCCTAAAATTCTGAGAGGAGAATGGAGGAGAAGGGATTGTGATGGGGCCATTCTCCTCTGAGGGGGTGTGATTTCTCACTTTCTGTCTCTCTGTCTCTGTCTCTCCAACAAGTACATGAACCCTATAGCAAAATCTCTCTTTAAAACCTTTTTTAAAAATGTAAATAAATAAAACGGAGCCTGGGACCAGCAAGTAGCATGGTGGATAAAGTGCTGGACTCCCACATGCCAAACAATGGCTCAAGTCCCCGACCTGGCACCTTGAAAATCACACTGGGCATGTGCATACATGTCCAAAAATCCCAAGAGGAGAATGAAGGAGAAGGGATTGGAACATGGCCAACCCCCAAGTGGTGATTTCTCACTTTTTCTCATTCTATTTTTGAAGAGGTTTTTTGTTTTTGTTTTTTGTTTATTTTTTGTTGTTGTTGTTGTTTTTGCTATAGGGTGCATGCGCTCGCCAGACAGACAGAGAGAGACAGAGACAGAAAGCGAGAAATCACCCCCCGGGGGGATGGTCACGCCACAATCCCTTCTCCTCTATTCTCCTTTCGGGATCTTGGGCATGCATGCACACGCACCCGACGTGAGTTTTAAGCCGCCGGGTCCAGGATGCGAACTGCGGTCAACTACGTGCAAGTCCAGCGACATAGCCATTATGCTAACTGCTGGTTCCCTCTCTTTCTGTTTCTTTCTGTGTCTCTCTGGTGCATGCACATACCCTATGGCAAAAAAAAAAAAAAAATTAAAAAACAACAAAATCTGAGCACTGCAGCTGAGAGCTATGGTCGTGCAAGGTCCCTAACTGAGAATGGTCAGGACAGCTTGGTGACTACTCTGCCCCTTTTGTGGAGTGTTTTTCATAAAAGCCCTTCACGTCCTAGCTTTTGTCTTGGAATCCTCCTTGTGAGTGTTCAGGGTTCTCAAGCCCACTTGTGCCTTACACAACACACCATGCCACGTGCCTCGGTCCAGTGACTCTTCCACCAGGGCTCTTAACCTCCAGAGTGGCAGGAATTCAAGAGGCCAGGCCGGTCCCTTTGATGTGGTCCATTAAACCAATGACTGGTTACCCATTTCAAGGTTGAGAGTTAGTTGGGAAGGATTCCTACCTTTAAAAAATGCTTTAACACTTTAACCTTAAGTCACCTTTACATTCTGGTGGGGTTTTTTTGAATTTTTTTTTAACATAACTGAATTTGCAATGTATATTCAATTTTGTGTCTTATTTTTCTTTTACCTACTTGTTTCATAAACATTTTCCTGTGGATTAATCCCGTTTCACAAACAACACGTCCTCATGACTATAACCAGCTGACGTATGCCTTGGTCTCATGCGTAGAATAAGGCAGCCTTTCTCCTGTTGCAGTCTGCCTCATCGGAGCTCCCCATGGGACATGCTGAAACACGAGTGACTGGTCCCACCCCCAGAATTCCTGAATCAGTAGGTCCAGGCGGGACCTGAGGTTCTGCATTTCCAAAAAGTTCCCAGGAGATGCTGACACAGCAGGTCAGATCGCACCTGCTAACTTTTTGCATATTTTAAAAGCTCTTACAAAAGCAAAAACACCTTAAAATGTGAATTTTTAAAGTCTTTAAAGCCCTTTGACTTTTTTTAAGATATGAAAGATCACCCACCACTTACAATTGTTTCTACTTGTAACTCGTATGCGTTCCATATTTATTTCTCTTTGAAGTTACCTACATTTTTTGAAGAAATCTTTAAAGGACCATCAGATATGCATCTACTCTGCTCATTGTTTTTTCTTTTCTTTTACATAGTTCCGTATGTATTGAAAAGCTGTGCAGAATTTATAGAGACTCACGGCATTGTAGATGGAATCTACCGACTTTCCGGGGTCACCTCAAATATACAACGGCTCAGGTAAGCTGAAAGAACAGCCCCCAAGCAATTCTCCCACGCTCCTTCTCCTGTCCATGAGTCTGTCTACAGGTGTGGGGAGTATTCAAAGTCTGGAGGGGCTGAGGAGAGGGTGGCAGGGCTGAAGAGCAGCTATGGCTGCTCTCACACGCCGGACTGTCCTCAGTCTAACCAGGAAGCTCTCCAACACCTGTGATCCTTCCAGAAAGAGGCTCCTGGGGGGTTTTCACCTGTTTCTTTGTCTTGCACCAGATTTATCCTTGGGTGGATTAATTTAACTTAAATGATTTAAGTGACAAGTGAGAAAGACATGATTTATGACCATTCGCTTGCCGACCCACAGCCCAGTCAGCTTACGCCCTGTTACCTAGCGTTCAGAACTCCGAGACAGAGGCGGCTTCCTGTTGGCACATGCTCAGCACTTGACATGTTGGCCAGACATTCACCTTCAAGATTGTGCATGTCTCTAGGGGATGCTGGTGTTTTTAAAAGTACTGCTACTGGGAACCAGCAGTTAGCGTAATGGCTATGTCGCTGGACTCCCACGTAGTCGACCACGGTTGGTGTCCCGGACCCGGTGGCTTAAAACTCACGCCGGGGCGCGTGTGCGTGCGTGCCCAAGATCCCGAGAGGAGAATGGAGGAGAAGGGATTGCAGCATGACCATCCCCCCTGGGGGGTGATTTCTCGCTTTCTGTCTCTATGTCTCTCTCTATCTGTCTGGCGAGCGCACGCGCCCTACAGTGAAAATCTCTCAAAAA